AATTTACAAAATACTAATTCATATTACAGTATTATAATTATATTACTATAAAGATTATTATATAATATTATATTGCAGTATATCTATAATATAATACAGTAATATTACAACACTAACAATGCTACAATAAAAAAAATACACACTTGGTTATTAATATCGATGGCCCCTTTTGAACAAGAATATTTATAAAAGATTTTCGGTCTTGTGAATTTTACTAATAAAGAATTATTATGCTCTTTAACTACACGGTCTACTTCATCACCCATCGTTGTAGTTGATGCACTTGCAATAATGCATTGTGGCTTTCGATCTTTCAAAGAAGCTGCAATTAAATATATATTATTAATCGTTGCAACCTTTGAAAAATAAGATCCATATGTGCTTCCAAGTTTTTGAACCATATCACAGGGATAATTGAGAGGCCACTCACGCCTTTTTTTAACATGAAAGATACCATATAGCCTATTTTGCATTAATTCTACACAAAGTTTTGGAGACCCAAACCAACTGTCACCAACTATAGTTCGGCCACTGCCAAACCATGGTTGTACTAAACGTAAAACATATGCAGTTGTACTACCATACTCTAAAACAAATCGTTTTTTTTTTCTATTTCTTTATCTTCACAGGGCTCCAATTGAATAATAATATTTGTAGAACCATCTGCAACCGTTTTCTATTCTTGTTTTACAGGATGTGGTTTACATGGTATTTTACAACGACCTGAAATCTTATTTTTGCTACCTAACCACGAATTCATTGATTCATCAATGCACAATGTTTTCCCAGGCTTTATAGCCTCAATTAAGTTTTTATTGAATGCATTAATAAAACTACGAACAGGATACAATGGATCACTAAGATTTGGTGTCTTTAGTTCACATGTCATTATTAAGGTATGACATGATACTATTTGTTCAAATCGTGAAAGTGACATCCAATGTTGAAAATTAAAAGAATCCATTGGCTTTGTAATCTCTTGTGTTGTTCTTCAATAAAAATGACGATCAGCCACAGGAAAGGCAGACATCAACACCCATAAACCTAACCATCTCATATATTCGTCAAAATTTACATCAACCCAGTTTGAAGTTTCCCGCCCATGTATGTTAATAGAATTAATCACATGCTGTTTAATATAATTAACTGGAAGATAACGACACAGCAAATTAAATGGCAAGGCTAGACCAACAGATTCGATATTAACATTACAATCCTGATTATATGATGAATTAATTTCACACTGGTCAATAGTTACAAATTGTTCTTTCCAGTTTACTGTAGTAGAAGGACCACTTGATTGACTTATATTATTATTTTCTTCATTAACATCATCATCATCCTCTTCTATACTGCTGTCACTATCATCAGACAATTCCGTAGGGACTATTGGTAATTCAACATTTGGTGGTAATTCTTTATTGTCTGGTTTTTCATATCTCAAATTACCTGCAAGAACATCAACTTCCATATTTTCAAAATTTTCTACATTGATCCAATATTTTAGATGCCCACCTTCATTTAACCCTCCAATAACTTTACCATACAAATGTTTGTTCTTCCAGTTACCACCACGATATTGTAAGTATTGTAGTACTACCTCCTTCGGCAATACTGATGACATTAAACTAACCTGCTCTCCAATAGTTATCTTACTCGAAATTCTTGGCATATTGTATAATTTGGCCAGGAATTTTTTTTTTTGTTCGGCTTTTTTTTTTTTTTTTGCCCAGGATTTTTCTTTAATGTTCAGATTTTTTTATGTCACTAATTCATTTATTGCTTCTTATACGACAGTGTTCTACTTCATTTATATCAACCAAATTATGATGATACGTATGCAAGTTTATATCAAAAAAAATTATGTGAAAAACAACTATTGATAAGCGAATATATAACTATCTCAATCGCTTTTTACAGGACAAAGTCTTGGCAATCTAACTTTTTTTGGATCAGAGCTTTATTCTTATATATGTATTATTACTAATCTATATGTCATTATTATTTTAAATCATATGATCATGATCACGATTATGATTATGATCACGATTGTGACCATGATCGTGATCGTGATCACGATCACGTAATATGTTATTTGGCTTATGACTCAACCTAATACTACAAATTTCAAAGGTAAGAATCTCATAGATACATTGAACAAACAGTTTTATAAAATAAAAAATATTTTTTTAAGTTTAGTATAAGCAGAATTTTTTAAAAAGTATAATTGAAGTTTTGTTAGCGAAGATGATCAAATGTAATAATACTTCCTAAAAAAAACTTGTTTATACACAATTAGCAAATGCACATAGTTATGAATTTATTATTACAATAAACTATATATATGTATCTACACTTTGTATAAATTTTATAGAGTTATTGGTAATTTTTTTTGTTCTATAATTTTTTAAAGGTTGTACTAAATTTAGTATTTTGTACTAAATTTAGTACACCTTACGGATACCCATTAATATTAAGATTACTTGATGTTTTTAAAACCTTACTGCTTAGCTTATATTAATATTTATTTATTTTTATTATTATACTAAGATTTTTGTTTTTTTTTTATTAGATAGTCAAGATTTAAAATTAACTTTTGAATTTAAGACTTGAATATTAATATTAATGATGTTTTATTAAGATTTTTATTATTGTACTAGATAAATAATTTTTAAAAATGTTTTAATGCAAAATAAGTATTTATTTCTTTAGTATTCTTTTTATTTTTTATATTGTTCTAATAATAATTACTAATAATAAACTTATTTTTGTAGATTTATTTATAAAATTAAATTTAATAATTGTTTTTTATCAAAAAATTCATTATTTAATTTTTGTAAAAAGGTAATCTATATACTATAAATATCTATTTATATAGCTTTTTCTATATTATATTTTTTTTATAAGAAGTTTGACTAACTATTTTTATATTATTTAAATAATTTAGTTAGTCTTTAATAAAAAAGATAAATCTTATAAAAATTTCAAAAATAATTCAATTTAGTATACTTAGTATTAGTAAATTTATTAAATAAAGTAAATTTAGTGCATATAGTGAATTTGTAAATTTATTAGATATATATATTTTTTTGATATTAAAATAATCTTTTTGGTCTTTTGACTTTTTATTATTAACTTTTTTGATGTAATTCAATAAACTACTATAAGAAAATATACAATTGGCTATATATATAACTTTTATATATTATCTATTTAAGAAGTCTGCCTGAAGGTTTTCTACCAATTGCTATATCTAACACTTTTGCTTAAATGTTCTATTTTAAGTTCTCTGAACTTGCAATCTGTATTAATATTACTAAATTATACTCAGATGTTCAGATTATTATCTCAACTTTAGGATTATTTTATCCTTAAAGTAAACCTTCTGAAGTCTTCTATATCTATTTTTATAATTAACTTAGTATTACTATAACAAAACTAATACTTGTAGTTAAAGTTATATCATTTAATTATTATGCTTTTGTAGAGTTCACTTGAACTTTAGCATTTATTTCACAGCATAACCTTAGTACTTTAGTATATTCTTGCCTTTTTATTAGACTTTTAATTCAAATAGCTTATATAGAACTATGATCAGTCTATTAATATATTAGATCAGCCTAATATCTTTTTTCTTCTGTTCATTCTAGCAGCCTGGTTGGTAGTACTTCTGAAACTTACAATCTGGAAGTTTTTGCCTATTTGAGTACTACAAGCTTGATATCTGTTTTTTTATACTAGTCTTTACAGTAAAGCTATTAAAGATCTAACTATATCTTTATTTAAATCTTTTCAAATAAACTTCTTGTTATATAATTTTAATAAATTTATATAATTACAAGAACTTATCTAATATTTGCACTGCTTGATTGTTAGTTTGCATTCTTCTGTATAATGTCATATTTACACAAATGTCTTATGACCTGTTAGTTATGCTAGTATAACTGATATTACAGATATCTTAATCTAATAATTAGTAATAGTTGCTATAATACAAATATTATATAAGTATTATTCAAATTTTTTATCATCAATAGAATTTGAATATCCAACCTACTACTTAGAAGATTAACAATCTAACTACTTTACTAGGTTGTCATATCTTCTTATTAGATATATTAAATATAGCAAATATAGTAAATTTAGATTATTTGTAATTAACTTTGTAATTAATATCACTTTTAAAGCTCTTTAGAAAGAAGAAAAAAAATAAAACAAGCAAATAAAATATACAATTTATTTTAAAATAACTAATTCATTATAACAAATTAACTTTTAGTTTAAAAGCTATTAAGCTATAGTTTAGAAAATTTTATTAAATTGCTTAAAATTAATTAGTTAGTTAATATTAAATATTTTTAAACTCAGATAAGAATAGTAATTTTAAATGAATATATAGACTAGATGCTAAAAAAAAAAAAAAAAAAATTTTTAAAAAAAATTTTAATATAAAAATTGAATTTCTAAAAATTTTTATTTTTATTAATTTTGTTTTTTTTTTTTAATATTAAGTTCATATTTTATTTTGCAAAGTATATAACCTAATTTTATTAGTCAATATAAATTATATAACTAGTAAAAATTATCTATTATTTAGAAAGAGACAATTAGATAAAAAAGAATAATTATGCAGAGAACCAAGTTAATAACAGCTAGACTCAATATACAGAGCAGGCTATAGTATACTTCGCAGCTGTGAGAGCTGAGCATATAATGAGCGAATCTACAGAAGAATCTTCTACTTCCTTGAATTCCATTTCATCATCAAACATCAAGAAAGCATCACAAGAACCAATTTATGACCCAGACTCATACTACAATCAATGGCTAACATGTGTAAATTTACCCCTACTTCCACATCCACAAACACTCAACTTCTTTTTAAAACACATTTATCAATACAACTTTACACAATACAACAATTTTAACTATGCATTCAGACTAGCAATCAAACTTGACTATAGTGAATGTTATATACATCTACCAAGCGTGTCTCAACCCTTACCTAATTACTTCTTTCCACAACTATTAAATTATACCTACTATTTATCTATACATATTCCTTCTAAATTCTCTCTAAAAAACAATAACATATTAAATACTAATCTAATTATAAAAGACGATGAACTATATAATATCTATTCTCAATTAGTAGAAACTATCTTGGAGGACTATGATGAAACTACCATAGCCAATTAATACTATAACAACATCCAATTTGATACCTGCTATAATAAATTTCTATTTTACAATCACATACTATTACTTTCTTATTTTCAAACCATTATTACTTTTTTATAATACATCCACAGCTTTGGCTATCTATTTGATAACTTATATGACTACACATTAACCATATTAATTAAAAATGACTATAGTGAAGCTCATGTCTACCTTCCATTCAAACCCAAACCTTTATCAAATTACTTTATTTTATCAGCTTAAGCAATCTGACATTATCCAAATATCTAACTAAAATCAAATACACTAACAACAATTTTTACTATACCAACATCTCTAGATCATCAATTTTTTCTTACTTCTAGCTACTTATCTCAAATAAATCCTGAACCCTATGATTTATCAAGATCAGCTTCTCCAAGTTCCTCATCTCTTTTTATCTCTAATCTACCAACTACATCATTATTATCACTACATGAAAACCTTACAACCAGTATTGTTAAAACTTGTGGTCAATCATAAATTTTGCTGATCATTGGTCAAATAGTTATTGGTCTGGTCGGTCAGTCAAATTGGTCAAATGACCTGATTACACAGACCAATCAGACTAATTCGACCATGGTCACATTGGTCAAATTGGTCAAATCAGTCAAATGATTAGTTACACAGACCAATCAGACTAATTAGACCAATTTGATTATGGTCAATTCGGTCAATTTAGTCAAATTGGTCAAACAATTGATTATATAAATAAATCACGATTAGAGATTAATTTAAAGTTATAAGATGAAGTCAGGTATTATAATGCACTTAAGAGTTGCTTATATAAAAATTTCTAGAAAAAATATATTTGATCTTGGAATTTATTAAAATAGGTTTAATTATCTGCAAATAAAAAAAGGTATTATGACACACTATATTTACTATCCTTCCTCCAGACATTACCCAAATAAAGAAATATATAATAGAAATCCTAAAAAACTTAATACTGGCATAAGTAATACCAACTTTTATTTATATCTTGTAGTTTGGCAATTAGAAACAAACCAATTTTTATATTATTTGATTTGTCTTAATAAGACGAATCGAATGTTACTAAAATTTTTCAATACTGATCAGTGTATCGCAGCATATCATCAAAAACATGAGTGTGTCACATTATTCACCTGTGTCATAATACCTACCTTATATGCTACTAAAAAATCAACAACAAGAAAAATACAAAATAGGCAAAATCTTGAGCACTTATAAAAAAATACTTGAAATGATTTTTTTATTTTATCCTATTTTAATTAAATCATTAAAATTGAAACACACACAGATTTAATAAGTTCTCAATTTATCAAAGATACTTTGAAGCAGGCTATTAATCAGAATATTACATTCTAATAAAATTATTTTTGGTTATTAAAATGTTCATATCTATACAAGCATAATAATGCCCACCTGAGCATTAATTAGTTGCCTTGCATGTTATTTCGAGTATGCCTATGTGTATTATTTCGAAATAGAAGTTAATGTTTGAATCCACATATTCTATTTTAGGGATTCTGATTTTCAAAACATATTTTGTGAATTTAGCTTAAGCTTTTATAAGCATTAGTGCAAATTCTAAAAGTAAGTTTCACATTATAAATTACTTTTAGATGCTGATTTAATGCAAAGTATACATAAATATAAATAAACTATTTCTAATTAAATTAGTAATACAGAATTTTGTAAGTTCTATGACTTCTACATGTTACTATCGTGATAACAGCTAATTCGAAATAGCGATAAACTATTTTTTTTGTTCACAGATAAGCTGTAAATTACACTAATTTATTTTTATATGAAAGCATATAGAACTCACTATTAATGTAATAAAGATTGGCTTTCAAATTAAACCAGTATTATGCGAACTGATAAAACAATTTGATATTAAATTGATCACATCAGTAAAATCATTTAAATATAAAAGCATTAAAATATCTCAAACCTATTTTCTTAAAAATAAAAAAAATTCATTAGTATTAAAATTAAAATGTCTCAAAATCATTCACATCGATTAACAAGATATATGCATATTCAAGATAAATTAGGCCCAAATCAAACAGCTAAACAGGCTATTTGTAAAGCCTGTGAACACAATGAACATATATTTGAGAAGGAAAGAAATGATGGCCTTCAATTGTGGAAAGTATATAATAAATAAGGGTTTTTTAATAGGTGGGATCATGTACAACGACATTGGAAACATTGTCAATATTGGCATGAGTATTGGATTGATGAAGACCAAGAAGTAATGATGTATGAAGACCCTAATAAAAATATGGCACGTAATGCTGTAAGGGCATTGTGACAAGCAAGAGAGCAAAACAATACAGCCATGTTCATTGTCTTATCCAATTCCAATACCACAAGCAATAATACACAAATGTCAGAAACTTCTTCAAACTTATCCTATATAAACTCTAAAAAAAAATAAATAAATTATACACTTGAAACTTATGTTGCTCGTTCATTATCAACTAGTTAATAATATGAATTTAATCGCCACCTTCTGCATCTAATAGTTCAAAATGGGCTTTCTTTTTGTTTTACTGAATGTAGTACACTCTGTGAGTTTGTTGATTTTTTTAACCCAACTGTTAAAATTTCAACTTGTGGAATATTAAGTACTAAAATTCTTGTTGAGTATGCAGAAAAATTAGAACAAACTAAAGTCTCTACTCTCTCTGAGTCACAAGAACCAGTTACAATCATGTTTGTTAGTTGGAAAAATGTTTGTTGCCAGGAAATTTTGGGTGCTGTTATTCTTTTTGCAACAAATCAGCTATACATATAGGGTGCTGAAGATATTAGCAATCATAGTCAAAAAACTCTCGATGTATTAAATACAATTCATAACTTTTTTGAGTATGCTAGTAACCAGAATCTTAATGTAGTGGCTATGGTTACTGACAGTGCATTAGCATATGCTTCTGCTCAGTATGTATAGATAATAGTGGTCGAAATGTTTCAGCCACTTGGCAAATGTTCAAAGCAAAGTTATCAATAATTTGTAAATACAATAGAAATTAGGCTTCATATATGTTAAGCCAGATCCGCAAAACCTTATGCAAGTCTTTTTCATATTTCAGCAAGACTTTTTGGTATTTCGGCAGATTCTAGAATTTTCAAAAATCTGTACTTAATATATAATCGAAACATTCAAAGTCTGCCAAAATACCAAAAGGTCTTGCCAAAATTCAAAAAGGTTTTGTGGACCTGGCTTAACATATATGAAACCCAATTTCTATTATATTTACAAATTATTAATAACTTTTCATTGAACATTTGCCAAATGGCTAAAATAATCGAAATTTCAACCACATATACAGTATAGATATAAAAAAAAAATTGAGCTTAGTACTGAAAAAAGAGACCAAATTGGCAAAAAAAATTTTTTATAAAAAATTAATAATCTTACGAACTAATAATTGATGATTTTAATTAATAGCTTGCAAGATAATTTTTTTGAGAAGAATTTTTTTTTGTTAATTTGGTCCTTTTTTTTAGCACCAAGCCAATTAAAAATTAATCTTGTATCATAATAAAGTAATATATAAATATTCATTACCAGGCATAAAATACGATTACAGAAGTGTAATATTGTATTTTTTCTATGCTTTGTGCACCAGACAAACTTATGCATTGGTGATATATTCAAACTTTCATCTATATATAAACAAACAGTAAAGGATGCCATTAAAATTGTATTATATTTTACAGATAAATGGCATTCAAAGGCAATATCATTACTTCATGATGAACAACAAAGAATTTATAAAACTATATTTAGCTTTGTACTTCCAGTAACCACCTGTTGGAATTCATATTATTATTGCTTTGCAATGCTGCTAAGAAGTAAACATGCTATACAGTCTTATTTAATTCTACATCAAAGCTCTTTCAAGTCATCAGATAAATTCAGAGCTGCTATTAACAACCCTCAATTTTGGACATACATTGATGAATTAGTAAAGCATCTTTTGCCCTTTGTCAGTATTTTGGATTATCTTCGGCATGATGTGGCCAACCTTTTTGATGTAATGTATGCATTTGTATATATAGCACAGCAATATGAAGATGAAATTGATGAATTTAGTTCTATGATACTACAAAAACTTGAAAAAAGATGGGCCAATTGGGAACAACCTCTTCTTTTACTGGCAGTTATATTTTATTCACAATATCATCTTCAAGCTTTATCTGATATTAATTTTTTCTCTCTTGAAAGAATAACACAGTGGATCGAATATTATTATAAAGCATGGTTTAATATAAAGTCAAAACATGTCATGTTAGAACTAACTGAATATTACATGAAACGTGGCATATTTAGTGATAAGAGATTTGAAAATACCTTTGAAGCCATCTCAAAAGAAAATATAGCAATAAAAAATGCAACTGGGCTCACATTATTGTGATACTGGGAATTTGCAGCAATTGACCAAAAAGAAATTGGTAAAGTTGCACTTTGGTTGTTTAGTATTAAAGTCAATTCTGCACCTTGTGAACGTCTTTTTTCTAGAATGGAATGGTTTCAAAATCCAAGATGCAGTCGCCTCAAGGTAAGTAGTAACAATATACTTGAATAATATTAAATAAAAAAAAACATCTGAAAGCATTTACTTGTATTAAAAAAAAAAAAAAAGTTCTGCAAATTTATACTAAATAACTTATCTTTGTCACAGTTACCAATGACCTTTAGAATGACCCAAATCGCAGCTGAGATGGCTTGGAAAGAATATTTAAACAATGCTGAAAAAGTTTGCCAAAGTGTTGCTACAAATCATATTACTCATTCAATCAATAGTGAACTAAGTAATGAAACAAACGATCTGAATACACTTAATCTGAAAGTTGGTGAGGGTGAAATGCCTAATAATGATGATTATGATAATAATGATTATTGTGATAGTGCCGATAATGCTGATGATGAATACGAAGTATTAAATGACAAAACTATTACTAAAGAATGGGTTAATGGAGAAAGTGAGGAACTTGAAGAAAGTGAAGAACTTGAAAAATTAAATATGGGCTCTTTTGATACTACTGATATGCATAAATATCATTCAGCTGAACACAAAGATTCAAAGATAGAACTTCGATACCTCTTTACACGTACTTTATCACAACTATCATTTGTTCGTACTCTTTGGCAACATGTTGAAGATACTTCCAAGATTTCTAACAATTAGAATTTAGTATTTTTATTTTTTTAAATCATATTATTTTGTTAGCTAAATTCATTGCAATAAAAGAATTACCAGTTCACTATAAATGATTGTACGTTAAAAATGATCTCTCATAATACTTTTAGAATAGCAGTATCTTAGGGAATACTATTGTTCTAGTTAAGAAATGCGAGTAAAAAACATTGTAAATGTATTGATTCGTATTTGTGCGTACACATACAAGTAGAGAATGGATCGTCTAATGAAGTAAAAATCAGCTGAATCTGACAGATCTACTAGCTTTGACATATCTGCCAGATATAATAGATCTGGTAGAACCAGTAAAAATAACTTATAGAGTGATATAGTCACAACGATAGAAAAGTTTGTAGTAAATTAGTATTATGCAAATGCATTTAAGCATATAATTTTAATAAAAATAAAAATTAAGTCGCCTTAGAGTCCAATTTCGAAAATATTATTGAGTAAAGTTGGCTCTATTTCTCTTATTTGTCATAGGCAACCTAAATAGTATTGATTGTCGTATTTTCTTGTTTTTGCAGCTTTTGTTAAAGCCTGATGCTGCGTATTAGAAAAATAAATTAGAGAAATAAAGAGAGAATCGAAGTAAATTATGTTAAAAATCATTATATAATATGTATGTATGTACTAGCACTAGGGTGATCATCATACTAATAAAATCAGGGTTACATGATAATTTTTTTTTTGAGATTACTGTGAATAATAGTAACTTTCGACCAAGGTTTCTTTCGAACTGGTATAATAATTACTAATTTTGATTTTTTTTAAAAGATGAAGCACTTCGTATAATTTAATTTAATAGAGCTATTTTTTCGAATATTCAATGTTTAACTAAATTTGACGAACATAAAGCTATTGAACTTTGTAAATTTAACTCTATTGTTAAAAAGAGCATAATAAAAGCTATCGATTATGATGTAAAAAACTTACATTTTTTTACTCAAAAAGTTATCTTCAGTTGTATTTTTCACTAAATAAAAAAATAATTAGTGATCACCAGACAATGTGATTTTCGAATTGGTTATACAGACCAATTTGACTGATTTGATCATGATCAAAATGGTTAAAATGGTCAAAATGGTCAAATTGGTCTGTATAACTTTATTATTTGACCAATTTGACCAGTATTACAATATTTTTACCAGACTGGTCATTGGTCAAATTGGTCTGGTCAAATGGTCAAACTGGTTTGGTCAAGTTAACACTGCTTACAACTGATCTTTTTCTTTAACTTAGAGTTGCAACACATAATGTACAAGGATATAACCTTAGAGAAAAAAAACTATTATAGGAAGAATACTGTCTAACACACAACTTACATATAGTAAGCCTTACAAAAACAAAAATTTCAGATGAAATATCTAATAAATTCTTTAATACACAACATTACACATTCTACTGGGCCAACTCTACAATATCGAAAGAAGGCACATGTATTATGGTTCAAAATTATATTCAATCTTATATTCATAATATACTGATCCACAATGTTGGTGCTATTGCACTTGATGTTTTCTTTAAACATGACTACAAATTTAGAATTATATCAGTTTACCTCTCATCTACAAATTCATCAACCCAAAAAGCAACACAAGACAAAGTAAAAGGATGGATACAACAAGCATTAGCTACTAATTTACATCCTATCATACTTAGTAACTTTAATGCTAATAATGATTCTACAATTTCATCAGCTATTAAATAACAATTGCTAAACTACCTACATAGTATCAATTTATATGACTTGGCCAATTATTCTAATAATATCTACAATATATGAAAAAGTACTAGATATCAAAACAGAATAGACTATATCTGGGTTGATGACTCATTAATCTCATATTTACACAAATTTGAACTCGACAACTCATTATCATTAACAAATAGTGATCATCAAATACTAATATCTACTTGAAAATTTCCATTCACTATATCTAAAGCCAGAGACAAAAACAAATGTAAAAGAAGAACATATAACTACAAAGCAACGACTAAAGAAAACTGGAAAGAATTCTCAAACCAAGTCAAGACCAATATAATAGAATATCAAGTGCCAACAACAACAGATACTACAGAAAGTCTTGAACATATATGGCACAAAATAGATATCTGTATAACTAAAGCAGCTCTTAAACATATCCCAAACAAAAAATATACTATTAAAAACTTTTTTTATACCTTTACACCAAAAGCCACACAACTACACAATAACTTTAAAACTATTAGACACATTATGCATCAAGTTAAAAAGCATTTTATACATAATACTACTATACTTGACAATATACAGAGCCTAATTGACCAAATCAATATAACATACAACTTTAACATCAACTCACCTCCACATCAACAATCCAATTTGGCCACATGGATACAAGAAACAAAACTTTGCTGAAAAACATTCTATAATGTCAGAAACCTTGAAAATGCACAACACCTATGCAAACATATTAATACAGCAATAGACAAAAGATGTGAACGATTACTTATACAACTAACAAAAATAATTAATAATATACTAAAATGTACAAAGAGCCAGTGCACTTTCACAATATCAAAACTGACTTAGACATTATTACTGATTCCAAACTAATTAAACAACACATTTTGGACCATTTTAATGAATAGACAGCACACTATCCTTATAATAAACAAATATTCAATGAATATTGACAAACAGAATATACACCAAACCCCAAAATCAACCCTAAATGATACAATTCTGCACTTGAACATATCAACATAGAAGAAGTTATACAAACTATTTAACAACTTCCAACTAACAAAGCCTGTGGACTATCAGGAATTAGTTATGAGATGATTAAGCATATCAGAATAGATATGCTAACAGCACTTACAGCATTTCTTAACAGATGTTTAACTCTACAAAACATCTCAAAACAATGAAAAAAAGTAGAATATACCTGATATCAAAAAAGCCACAATTTGATGGAAATCTTAACAACACCAGACCTATTACTTTAGTTGAACACTCTAAAAAAGTCTATACAAAAATCCTTACTAACTGCTTAAACAAAATCCTTACAACTCATACTATCTTAAATCCACATAATTATGTTGCACTTTCAGGCAACTCAACTAACAATCCTATACACATACTTAGCAACTTCATTGAAGATGCAACCTGTACTAAAAAACAAATCTGGATCCTATTACAAGACATAAGTAAAGCTTATGATTCAGTTAACATTCAACTCCTTAACAAAGCATTACAACGAATACATATGCCTATACATCTAGTCAATACTATAATTAATCTATTTCAAAACTGCTTTAATCAAGTAATTACTAACTTTGGCCCTTTCCCTTCATATGAAGTACAGGATAGTATTGACCAAGAAGAAACTATAATACCTCTTCTTTAGTGCATTTACTATGATCCACTTATCAACAATATAAACAAAAAATATACTAGTTATACCTCAACAACCAAATGGATCTCTCAACTTAATCTAATAAAATATCAATCAGCAACAACTTCAACATCAACCTTGGCATATATGGATGATACACTATGGTTAGCTAAAACCA